AACCAGCGGGGGGGGGGGGGGGGGCAGCTCTATATTAATGCCTATGATTTTGAAATGGGATGTCCAACAATCATATATAAGTATATTTATCAGGAATCCACAAACTTTGGCCATGTAGTATACTGTATATCAACCGAGTAGACATATAGATCTGTACATGTTCTTAAGTGCCCTTTTAAATAAACTGAGTTGTCATTTAGGTTTACTTGTCCTTATATATGAATATAGAGTTACGATTGATTCTATGTACCGTCAGAATGTTGGACAGGAGGAGAAGGAGCCTATAATGAGAACAACCCTACTGGATTTTAAATACTCCACTGAAGCTACCCATCAGGATGTGTGCATTTTGGGAAGCCTTTATGTAGCCGAATCTACCCAGCATCCCCTTAAGCTCTGCTGCACCTGGAGTTATCCTTTGAAGGGGAACTTCAGTGAAACCTGGTGATATAAGGGCTTCATTTCTTACCTTCATATTCACCGTGTCCTGTGCAGAAGTTCCTGAATCTACTATGGTGCTCTGCACATGCTTTGACAATTCCCTGTGGACAAAACACAAAAGAAAGTAGGGTGGAGCTGAGTAGGTTTCAGAAGCACATCCTGAAGCAATTACATGAAACAGGAGTTGCAGGCCTCTGTTACTGCAGAGTCCACCTGTTACTATCTTTAATTCTCTAATTCACCATTCAAAATTCTTAATGACATCACATGCTGCATATGTAATGATGTCATCATGCACAATCACATTAAATCTCAAGTCAATTATGTTGTGGTAAATAATGCTTTTGAGCTTGTGGCTCCCCAGTGCCAATGTGGATGAACAGACAGTGTGGTGAATGATGGACTAGGGGTGTTGAATGTGGGGAATTTTGGAAGAGAAAAACTGTAATTGTATGGTGGGGGAATTCAGTGTGGACAAACTAGGGAGCTGCGGGACAAAAGCATAGAGGTAATCTCACAACAAGACAATACAACACCAGATGCTCCAGGTATAAATTATGCCGTGGTATAGTCAGTTACACAATGGGTTTTACTGGAATTCTCTTTTTGTTAACAGGTTCTTTACTACTATTTCTAACCTAAAACACAGATTTATTCTGTATAATGCACCTCTATTTTCTTTTCTTTTTTTCAAAAGAACAGAAGATATTTTTGTAAAAAAAAGAAAAAGAAAAAAATTAACAAATTATATCTTTGAAGGTTGGATGCTTATTAAATAAATATGTGTACTGTATATGGTGGATTTTAATATAGTTGGAGACCAGAAGTGTCTTAACTGAACCATTTTTTCTTGTTTATTTAACTTCTAAAATACATGTATTTTTTTTCCAAGTCCTTTCATTTCCACTTGTATACATAAGGGATATCCAAGAATAGATGAATAATTACTTGCCAAAGGAAAGATAGAAATGCAAACCAAAGAAACACTAAAGAACAATACAAAAGCAGAGAACACACATATTTGAGGTACACATAAGAATTTCTGTAAATATGCACCTGAAGAGCTTTGTTGTAAGATA